TTTTCTTTTGCACTTTTATGCACGGTGAACGAGTCATTTTTATTTTATTTTCGAAGACTTTTCCTCCTGGTACGTATCCGCAGCAATATACAAAATGTCAGATAGAACAGTGTGTGCAGAATTTTTTGAAGATTTACAAATTCTAAATAAATACAGTGCTGCTGAAAACATGAAATACATACACGCTATTTGAAAACTACCCAAATTTGGGTACAATTCACCCTGATCGGTCAAAACTGAACCTACCCAAAAATGGGTAAACTGTGTTGGGAGTGACAAGTTAACAAATGAACTACGTCGGTCGGATTCATGCCACTGTTGTCCATTTGTCAACTTGTCATTCCCAACACAGCTTACCCATTTTTGGGTAGGTTCAGTTTTGACTAATCACGGTAGATTCTACCCAAATTTGGGGGTAGTTTTGAAAAAGCGATTACTGAAATAATAAAAATCTGAGAGAGAGGAGACAGCTTTGCTATCGATCACGCAAACGTCAACGAGATCCAGTCATGAACTGTCACTGCAAACTATGCGAAACATTAGAAATGGGGCTATCATCCTTTTGAAAACAACTTTTTTCGTGCGGACCCAGGCTTGCCTTTGCAAACCAACAACACGATTGGGTAGGGGAGAAAAAAAAGAATACAAAGAAAACAAACCATCCGTCATTGAGCTGGCTCCTCTCTCTCTCGGATAAAAATGATGTTTATTCAACCCAGCGTTATATGAAAAATTTAATAATAATATCAGGCATAACATTTGATAACGGCACAAAAGCATTTGTAAACAAACTTTCTAAGGGACTTTACACGCGAACCAAAGTACGCCTTTGCAAACCAATACCACTTTCGGAAAGGTGATAGCTGCCCCTATCCGATGATGTTGTTGGTTTGCGTGGGCGTACTTTGGTTCGCGTAGAAAGGGCCTTAGATTTTTTTTTATTATAGTCACTTTAACACTCTTGGATCATTCGTGACTTGTCCGGGGGTGAGATTTGAACTCGTGACTTTGGCGTGAGAGGTATGGATGTTAACCACTACGCCGGGTCGCCCCCTAAACTTAGAAAATTTGTTTACAAATGCTTTTGTGCCGTTATCAAATGTTATGCCTGATATGTAGAAAATAATTTAAAATGGATTTGTAACGTTAATAATCGATTGTGAGTTGATATTTTTAAATTTTTATACTTAAAATAAAGTTACGTTATATCGAGGTGGAAGTTACGTTATATCGAGTTACGTTATATCGAGGTTGCTTTATATCGAGGTATGACTGTAGTTAAAAGCTTTCCATGTATTGTTAATTAAATATGAACAAAAGTTTGATTTTCCCATATTAGTTGTAACATAAACTTCAAATAGTTGTTGCAAAATCAGTTTCCAAACCAAACGAGTTCAAATTGTGTACATTAATGGCGTCTCTCTTATTTAAAAAAAATCTATATATATCAGAGTACTTATATAACGATATGTATGTGTTTCGGAATGAAATACATGTTTTTTACAGATGGTGTAATAAAAGATTATTGAAACTAAATATTAAAAAATGTAATCTTATGACGAACAGTAGAAAACTAAACAAACAAAATCTTCGTATTACATTACACAGCAAAAAAATAATTTTGATATCACATCAAAGTGGATGCACTACAATCAAGTCGAAAATTTCATATAATTTTTATGACCACATAAATAAACAAATGCAGTAAAAGCAGCGTAATGTCAGTTCATGCATTGTATTAATGATAATTTTATCCTTTTTAGCAAGTAATATTACACCATATTTTCGACATGATTGTAGTGCATCCACTTTGGCGTGATATCAAAATTATTTTTTTGCTGTGTAGGTAATGAAAATGTTCAAAAATCTGAAAATGTAATAGATTTAGGTGTTATTCTAGAGTTTAATTTGACATTTGTGGACCATTATAACACAATAATACATAGATCAGGCAATATGATTAATTTTATAGAACGTTTCGGTCTCCACTTTAAAGATCCTTATACAATAAAATCACTTTACGTTGCTTAAGTGAGGTCAATATTAGAATATTGTAGCGTTGTTGTGTCACTTTATATGAAAGTTATGACAATTACGTAATCGACACTTGTTCGCAGTAGATCACCATCGGACCAATTACGCTAAATTTGGACTGGTAAATCAGGTGATGATTGATTATAATCATCATTGTGAAATGATTGACTTAAATATGCCCTCAACAGAATTAAAAATTTATTTCAGAACCTTGCGAAGTCATAGAATATAAGTCCTGATATTAATATGTAGTCTACGATTTGATTGATTGACGAATAAATAAATAAATAAATAAATAAATAAGTAAAATCTGATTGTGATTGATTGATAGGGAAGAGCGCTACTTCGTCGTAATCGCCCATTTCCGTTCTATCGAGCAGAAATCATCAATAATATCAATGATTTCACAATGCAAAAAACAATAATACGTTTGTTCCGATGTGTTAGTTCATTAGCTACAACATAAATCCTATTAGAGCGCATTGTATGCATATTTACGCTCATTGTTCTCAAAACGAAAGAAGCGCTCCTAGCGCATCCCCTTTTTCTCCGTTTATCCGTAGGACGAAGAAAATCTAATGGCGTTTCAATGCGTTTGGACGGAATTGAAACGCGTAGGACGAATTTAGAAGCAAGAAGCAGTGTTAGATTTTTAATAATATCTCAACATTGTTTGACTCTTTATCAAATCCAACGGTACGTATGGAAAGGTGGATAAATTTAGAAGTTATCTTTGATGAAAACATTCCATGTTTTGTTCAAACCCTTTCCAAAAAGCGTGGTAAAGTGCGGGATGTCCTTAGTAGGACGGAAATTAGATCAAAAACCCTATGCATGATTGTTTTAAATGCAAAATTTCGTTTTGTTCTAGCAATTTTGAAGTCGTAATTTCGTTTTAAGCTGTCAAGCTATTTTTCTCTGTACTCTTTTGAAAAACTATTTAAAACTTATTTCTGGACTATTTTATTTTGCAAACGTTATTTTAAAGGCAACTGAGCCCAATAACTAAAGCCGATTTTGAATTTGAAATGCCGAATAAGAAAATAAGTGAAATTGATCCAACATTTAAAGCTGCCTATTTTATCCCATCTTCTTCTACACATAAAACAACATAGATGTGGATTAGAAACTAAACCAACAATGATCGCAAATCTACAAAACATTTTTTCCGCAGATCACGAACAACGCCTCAAAATAGTGTGAACGTTGCAGTGAAACTCGAAACAGCATCACATCGAATAACTAGTCTCTAGTTACCTTCTTCATTCAGTCTAACAACAAAGGGAGAAAACTAAGGCTTTAACTTTTATGAAAGAGTGTTCGGTAATCGGTCACAACCTCTTCAGTAAAATCAATTGCCTTGGAAAGATGATTTAAATTGGTTTATTCACGGAACTTACTCATGACACTTCAGCAAATCATTTGAAAATACAATATACACGGATAGAAATCTCCTTATACTTTTGGGCAAATTTCTATAGCTGATTATTCATAAAATGTATAAGTCAACTAATAAACAGACGCCTTGCAAAAAGTTAATGAAGATCATGTGTCAAATGAAATGTATAAGCGGTCACACATACCTTCTATGCATTCAAATAGGACCTATGTGGTTTGTCTTATGGAATGTATAAGGCTGATGTTTTGGCAAAAATGTATAAGTGAAACACATGAATAAAATAATTGATTTTCGTTTCGTGTACAATAATAGACGACGCATACAGCATTGATACCGTCCGGGACCGAAATCCGTACAACTAAGAAATGAATCGAAATCCGTACATCTCAAACCAAACGTCTACTTTTTGTATGTGGTGTTCGAATTTCGTTCCTTGTACCGATTTTGTTCCCCCATGGTAGTAAACTTATGAAAATCAATTTTTCATTTATCATTATGTTTCTCAGGCATTCATATCAGTGAGCCATTCATATCAATTTCCAATATTCTTCTTCTTCTTCTTTCCTTTATTTAACGTCGTTCTCTGTTCCGCAATCTAGTTCCAATCACCGACGGACATCGATTGCCATCCATTGGCGGCAATCGAATGTGCAGCTTCCACACCTGCGTAAGGTATCGCTCCCATTCAGCACACATGGGCCGGGACATTTCCAATATTGCAAGGTGACTCCGCAGCTACCGACAATGTAGGGTAGAGAACTACTTCGGCCTAAGCGCCCATTTTGGGCCTATCGAGCAGAAAACCTCAAATAAATCCATAATTTCAGAGTCAACAAGTCAATTATGCATTTGGTACGATACTTTAGTTAATAAGCTTCCGAACGAAGTCGATGAGAACGCGTGATATGAAGGTTTGCAACAATTATTCCCAAAAACGAAAGAAGCGCTCCGACCGAATCAATTTTTATCTTCATCCTATAGGCCGAAGTGAATTCAATGGCGTTTCAATGCGTTAGGCCGAGTTTAGAATCCGTAGGCCGAGTTTGCCGTCAAGAAGCAGTGTTAGACTTTTGACAATATCTCAACGATTGGTTTCTCTTTATCAAATCTTACGGTACGTACGGAAAGGTAAATAAATTTGGAAGCCATCAGTAATAATAACATTCCGTTTGGTGCTAAACTGCGCTAGATTAAGAAAGACTAAGTACGGGTTGTGCTTAATAGGCCGGAAATGGGGTAGTTAACCCTACTTCGATACTTCCTTCAGATCTCTTATAAGCTTAACAAATTCATCATCAAAAGCTCTGCTCTGCTCTGTTCATTTCCACTGTTTGTAAGGCAAAATGAACACGAAGCACGAAGCTTTCTACTTGGTTGCTAAAGGTCTTGAGCTGCCAACCGGAATCCAGAAGAGAAAGAGCACGACGACCGACGGCGCGAGCGAGGAGAGTTGCATTCGAATCAGTCAGACTTCGCTTTTGTTTACAACTGCACCGCCACGCGCGGCTATTGTGTTCCGTCTCGCGCGATCGTCAACATCGCGTCCTCGTCTCGTTCGAGCTCTTGGCCATTTCTCCGTGCCCGCGGTGCCGGTTCTTTTCGCGTGCATTGTTTTCTTTTCCATTTTCAAGTTCTGTCGGTTCTGCGTCTAAATAAGAGCTATAATCGCTTCGGAAGTGAGATTTTTTGTATATTTTTTCCACCTTTTGCGCTCATCTCGATCACACGCGATTAGGATCATGATCTGTGTTTCGAGTAGTTTTTGTTTCTCTCGACATCAATTGTTTAATTACGTGACGGATGTGAACTTTCGGTGCTACAGCGTCTTCAGTGGTGTTGTTATTATTGCTACTATCATAGCATCGTTGGGGATCGTGTGTGGGTGAATGATTCATCAGAGGAATTCCTTTATCATTTTCACGACTTTTATTCGTGTGATTGCGTGACGATATGGAAGAGTGATGGAATGTGCCTAATGTTTTCCAGTGTGTGATAGTGAAGAAAAGTTCATTGAATCCAAAGAAATATATACCTGCGGGTTGGAAAGAAGATCCATTCATAGCCACATTAGGGCTACTGACTGGCCTGGTTGATGTGCAGTGTAAACGATTTGGGCATTTTCCCATTATTGTGATACTGTTATGCCTTGGAAAATAATACCAGCAGAATCGTAGAAAATTACCGAAAATCAAGTGTGACGAAAGTTTGTTCTTTCTCTGCTGAGTGTGTGAAAGGAAATAATAAGAAAATCTGCAAGACGTGCTTACATTGTAGTGGTATCCGGAGAAAATCGATCACAACCCCTGGAATAAGTTCGCGGATGCCGAGCGGAGATTGATCAGCTTTTTGTGGATTCTAACCATCGATCTAACCAACAGACCAACAGTGCACCGGCCGGGGAAATCAAAATCGAAAACAAATTAGGTGTGACAAAAGACTGGTAAGCTGTGGGGTATTCGTGTTCAGTGTGGTGGTCTTATTTTAAAATTTGATTGTGTTGCTTTATTGGCATCGGTGTGATTCGATGTGGTTTTGACCAACAAATCGATTTATTTTGGCAAAACTGGTTTATCCATGTTTACAGCTGCCAATAAATGGAACGCTGAAGAAAGTCAGACCTGCTATAGCACATGTTTCTTATTATGAAACTGTTTCAGTGCATAGTGTCTGGGAATTTAATTAATTGAAATTCGAATTAACGATGAATATATGTAAGGAGCGTCCACATTTCACGTGAACAGTTTTGAGAGGTTCTAGACCCTTCCGTGGACATTCACCAACCCCCTCCCCCTTTACTGCCCTTAATGCAATCCAGAAATGCAAAATTCATGAAAATAATGCTGTTTCTCACAATGGTTAGGTTCCCGAGCAAAGCTGGAGACCAAATTGAAATCAAAATTTGCTGTTATGATGTACCTCTTTTTGATCTCGTTTTGTGAGGATTAACGGTTAACACAGTAAAAATTTGAGTTACATTTTACACTGCTCAGCCAAACGCATTCATAATATTCAAGTGGTAAGGGGTCTGCACACTTAGAAATAACTAATTTTACATGAGACGCAGTCTATATTGGACGTAAATCATGGAACGTAAACAAACATTTCATGTAAAATTAAGTGTTCTCAAACCGCAACATAAACAGCTCGACGAAGAGTACGTTTGATTGAATTGATTTTCTCGTTTCTTAAAACTGATTCTTATGTAAAAAGGGCCGCTTACATGTGTCGGTCTCAGGGAACCGAAATTTACACGACATTTTCGTAGTGTGTGGGGTAAATGGTTAGCATTCATGCTTCTCACGCTGAAAGATTTGAGTTCAAATCTCACCCCGGACATGTCACGAATGATCGAAAATGTGTTAAACAATACAAACTAACAAGGGGCTGTTCATAAACTACGTAGACAATTTAGGGGGGGGGAGTTGAAAATTATCCACGGCCCGTACAAGCTTTAAATTTTTTGTATGGACAATTGTCTACGCAGGGGGAGGGGGGTCAAGAATCCCAAAAAATCTGTCTACGTAGTTTATGAACAGCCCCCAATTATCTAGTCTAGTAGTAGAGTCTGTGTCTAGGGGCACGACCGGACGGTTGACGTGGAACCGCAATTGCCAGCAGAGACCCCAGTGGTTGTTCCCGGTAGAGTGGCCAGTTGACTTAAACATCTCCCTCCTTAAATCCTTTGGTAGGAGCTAAACCACTGCGGCAGCCTTCTGACACGAAAAGATCGATGAGGGCCTTGAATCACCGACGAAGTCTCGACTGCTGACTGGAAACCGATCGATGCAGTCGTTGATGATGATGTTAGTTGCATTTTAGCCATTGACTAGTTCTTCACTTTGCAGGAAAAATATCAGAGGTATAAGGCCTGCCTTTAGAAAAAAAAAAACACAGTTGGAATTTACAGAGTTTTGGTTGGCCGACATTGAAAATTTGGGAAACACAGAAGAACAAACTAGACCATTGACATTGAGTTAACTAATTGACTAATCTGAACACGGCAGAGCTCCACCGTGGAAGGCGGTGTCCTCGTCCAGTAGAGATGCCCCGACGGCCAAAAGAAAGGAATCAAACATTGAAAAACAATCCAGCGTTCTTCAGGAAGGAGATTAGGGTAGCCAGGATCGAAGGTTCGTCGCCCAGTATGTCGCCGATATTCTCCGAAAGGCCGTAGTGTTGCCGCACGAGCACGTGCTTTGGACACACGCAGAGGATATGCTCGACGGTGGCTGGAATATTACAGACGACGCAGGTCTTGCGGAAAACTCCTGCGCCGAAATCGTGTGAGAGCCGGGTGTGACCTGTGCGAAGCCTGAAGATGACTCGTTGCTCCTTCAGGCTCCCAAGGTCCTTCCAAGGACGCGTGGTCTCCTTGATTTTCCATAGCGGTGCTTGGTTTGCCAACCATTCTTCTTGCCACCTAGCCTGCCTGGAAGTTTCGACACATCGCTTGATGTCCGGAAGAGTGAACTTCATCGGTGTACCTGGCACCAGATGGTCCCGCCCGGCTAGTCTGTCAGCGTCAGAGTTGGGGCCCATGCATTGCTTGTCACAAAATCTTAGACCCCCTCCCCCCTCTAAAGCGTGACATAATATATGCATCAACCCTTGCCAGTGATACTACAATGCACGGAACCCAAGCGAATTCTGTGTTGGGGGGCATGTCTGATGATCTCCTGAATCCACGGATGAGTGGGCATGTTGGACCGTGTAACAATCTCCGATTAAGACTGGATAATTGTTGGATCTTGACCTAATGTCGTTAAGATATCGGCAAACATAGCCAATTTACCGTGCTAATTATAGGCATCGATATTGCGGAAGAGAACAGTGGTTCAAAGTGTAGTACCACACTGCTCTCGCTCAAACTTTTACTCAGGCCGGCTAGCCACTCACAAATTGAAAGGTGCACTAGCATCCGATGGACTAAATGCAAAGTGAATTCAATTTCATTAAGGAAAGATTCAATTAGCAATGTAGCTCGAACAGCCGACGTCGCACTGTTACGCGACGTTTGTCGCACGGCTAGAATCCGTCCTACCGTATTGACGCTCTCTCTTTCTTTCTCAACTTGCACGTCACAGCCTTCGAAGGGCACTTTCAAGCACTGACTGTCACACTTGGCGGCTTTGACTTATTGTTGGTTCAGGTCTCAAAGGTACATACGAAGATGGACCAATTTGCAGGTTTAGCGTCTACGTCTCGATCGAAGAAGTGTAGTTGAAGAAGTGAGTCGTCGCACTTTTGACGAATTTGACCTCTTGTTCGATGGTCTGGAACGTGCCTTTCTGGAGTCCTTAAAATTTTAATGTCCGAAGCTTATAACATTTCCTATCGGTTGCTTTAGTGACATAGTGCGACAAGAAGAGTTGATGATTGGTGATCTAGTTTTTATTGATCTCGAAGTATAGGGTAATTTCGATGATTGTTGGCGCATTTCGTCGGTAAAATCTCGAATATGTAACAACCGGAGAGCAGAAATTACGCTATGTAAATCAGTGAGGATTAGGACTCCGACCGGTGTGATTGCTGCTTCGAAAATCGCCGCTGCTTTTGCAGAAAAAAACAGAGCATTGTGGTGGTAGGCTCAAGCTCGTTGGCGAGAGTTTTCCCGCAATGCCTATCCCTAATCCGTTGTGCGATTTGGACCCGTCCGTAAAACGGTGCGTATGCCTGGGATACCCGGAGTTTAGCATCTTCGCGACGGAATGTCTCAGCGCCGCCGAGTTGTCTCCTGCCCTAAACTGGCCCTTAATTCGGCTTTCGATGTTTAACGGTCTCGATTGTCCACTTTTTCCTTCCAGCCAGTCGCTCTTGGCTATTTGGGGGAGGTCGGTATTGGCTGCTGTACGGAGGATTCTGTTCCCCTCCTCGAGGAGATAGATCCATACATCAGCTCTGCTGGTGATCTGCCATTTGGTGCATTTGGGTTTGATTGCGAATGTTGTCAAGTTCTGAATTCCGTTTTCGATGCAGAATTCTTTGAACTCAATAGGTACTCAGTAAATTGTCTACCATTATCCGACACAACGACCTTTGGCATTCTCTTGTTGACGAACACGCTACGAAGCAGGTTGATGGTGGCTCTAGCGGTAATGGGCTTGGTAGGGAAAATCTCCGGCCAATTACTTTATGCATCCACGATGGCCAGATAGAACTAACCCTCACTCCCACCACCGTAATCGACGTGAACTCTCTACCAGGGAACTGTAGTTTTTGGCCATAGTTATGGTGCTGCTTTTGCTGCATATAAACAACCGCCTCAGGCGCTAACGTAGCTGACAATTTCCTCATTGAGACCAGGCCAATATACAAAACTCCTCGCGATCGGTTTCATCCGCTGTACTCCTTTGTGGAGTTGATTCTAGCACCGCTTCCTGTACAGTGCTGGGATAAACAATTTTTAGCTGAACATGATGCAGCCTTTGACTGTTGATAGTGATTCTTGACGGTCGTAGTAGCGTAGTATGTTTATCCCAATCCTTGTTCTCCGACAAAGCGGTACACTTTTCGAAGCACGGTATCCGAACTTGTTATTGCTCGCTCCACCGTACGGAAACTTAGGGGTAGACGGCTAACCGTACTGTTGGCTACGGATCTCAGGTCTTCCTCCAGGGTAGTGCACGTCACGATGAAATCTTCTTCGGGTTTGACATGCTGGTCAAAAAGACATGACAGAACATCAGCATTACCAAACTTGTCCGTTGCGACATATTCAATCGAAAAGTAGTAGGAAAGTAGAATGAGGGCCCAGCGTCCGGCTGAAGTAAGTGCCCGTGAAGCATGCAACCTTCATCTTACCATCGGGGTACTTGTGGATGATCGTAGCCCCAATTCCGACCGTCGACGCTTCAGCTTAAGTCTGGAACGCGCAAAAATTGGTCAACTTCAAATTGGTGTATTTCTATTAAAAATTCGTTAAAAAACCTGAAATGCTGCATTTGGAAGTTGAGTGTATATACAATGGTTGCTATGATGAGTTTTCACCGTTTGCTCTCCAGTTTTTAAAATGACGTCCAAGCAAGAGGAGTAGCGTGTCAAAATTTTGCTCGTGCAGCAAGCCAAGTTGGCAAAATTGCTGGATGTGGCCAAATCGACCGTGACAAACGTTTTAAAAGTGTTCAAAAAGCGTCTGTCGACCGCCAAGAAGCCTGGAAGCGGCGGCAATCGTAATTCGGACGTGGCAGCAACGACGAAGAAGGTGGCGGTGAAATATAAGCGGAATCCTAACCTCTCCGTCCGGGACGTCGTTGGGAAGCTCAATGTCTCCCATATACTACTGTGCAGTGGGCCAAGAAACGAGCCGGGTTGTTGACGTTTAAGAAGGTGAAGGTGGCGAACCGAGATTACAAACATAACACGTCGGCAAAGCAGCGGTCCCGAAAGCTGTATACGAATCTGCTCACAAAGTTCGACTGTGTCGTCATGGACGACTAAACT